TTTTTAGATAAATATGTAATAAATCTATATATACACATTTTCTTAAATATTCACCAAAGAATGTGCAGAAAAGAAATGGCATTAAGCCTCAACTCAGCAATGACTTCCACCAGTAGAGTGAGCCCAAATAACAGGGGCTCGGCCACCAGTCACCAGCTGGTAAGCGACAGCCAGCCAGGAAACTCAGCATCCTACACAGCATAAACGCAGGAAACTAGATTGTGTATGCCTGGATTACTTGTTACACTCAGGTTATTTCTTTGTATTAAGTCACAATATATTAAGGATTCACCTGACATTCAATTTCTCCAAAATATGGTTTCCATAACTTCCCACCAGACTGTTTATTCATCTTCGCATCTGCCAGTTAGTTTAGTATCTGCCACATGGGTGTTCAGTAAACATTTCTTCAATTTTATGCAGGGAGGAATTCAAAGAAACGCAAGGCTTGTTTCCTGATCTCTGTGACAGTCATAATTACTTCTTCCAGTATCACTCATCTTACAGACGCACACAACTTTTTATTCCGGGCAATTATAATTGAATGCTATCCATCAGGCAATAAAACTGGGATTGCTCAGGCACTTGCAGCCCAAACATAAAGTGATATATGCACTTCTTGATCAAATGCCAGAGCTGAGAGATGGATATGAAACAGACATCAATAATTACAGCTTGTACCGGAGCTGTTGGTTTAAGTTCGACGAACAAGTAATAACTGGACAGGCACACCCTTCAGAAATGAGAGGTGGGAAAAGATTACCTCATTCCAAGGCTGACACCCAGCAGACCCCCTGCAGCTGTTGTGTAAGAGGCAGCCCAGAGCCAAGGAGGGAGGTGTGGGCTGCAGCTGCTGGGGCAGCGCCCAGAAAGCATGGGAGGCAACCTGGCCAGGGAGCCCGTGGGAGCCCACGGGAGCCCAGGCCACTCCACCCTCCTTCCCCTTGGTGTCCTGGGTATTCAGGCTTTCCTGAAGACATGGGCAACACCTGGATCAAATCTCTTCAAAACGCCATCTCACTTGCAAGCAGCCCAGGAAGGGGGTTACTAATAATCACTATGAAAAGGTGACAGGCCCCTGGTTGATTCCCAACATTGCGAGCACATCTGAAAAGGCAATGTCTTATGTGGCATTAGTAAGCTGTGCCTCTGAAGCCTGTGGCCTGTGGCAGGGGGGCCTGGGACTGTACCACGAAGGCCTCTGTAGGCCTAGTAAGGTAGCCTAGTGTCTAAAAGTCCTCGCCTTGCATGTGCCAGAGTTCCCTATGGGCATCAGTTTGTATTCCAGCTGCTCCACTTCCTTCCTGCTTCCTGTTTGAAGCCTTGGAAAGCTGTGGAGGATGGGCAAAAATCCTTGGGACCATGCACCTGCCTGGAAGACCAGGAAGAAGCTCCCGGCTTCTGGCTTTGGATTGGCTCAGCAGCGGCTGTTGCAGCCACTTGGGGAGTGAACCAGTAGATCGAATATCTTCCTGTCTTTCCTTCTCTCTCTAAATGTTTCCAATAAAAAATTAATAAATCTTTAAAAAAGAAAAGAGAAGCAAGCCAGCAAGCAGGAAACTACTTGGAAGGTGTACTATACTTGAAAAGACAACTGTGGCATAGTGAACACTCATCTTTAGGATGGGACCACGTGAGCAGGAGGTGCTACTGAGGCAGCAACGCTTGGTTCTAATGCGTGAGCAGAATGGTCTGTCTGCGTTTCTTGTTGGTGACCTTGCCATATCACACACCGCCATGGTCTTCACTGACACTAGAGCCCCTTCCCCAGTGAGTCTCACAGCTTTTTACTGCTTGCCACCAAGGCCTGGAAGCAGGGGCTTTTCCTGGAGGAGTAGTGTGGAGGGATAGCAAAATCCCAGACACTTGTGCTTCTATAATCAAGATGTGCCCAGCACTCCAATCTCCAAAGTGGAAAGTGGATTTCCTCACTTCAGTATGCTCCTGAGGTCCAGAAGGAGACACAAAGGTACTTGCAAAAATTCACGGGAAACTGAACTCAAACAACTTCAGGGGCAGGTGTGCGGCCTGCGGGCGAGCTGAGTGGCTGCGTCACACACACACACACACACACACACACACACACACACACACACACACACACACACACACACACACACACTCCGCTGATGTGCCTGAGGTAGAATCCCACCTCCACACCCAACTCCAGCTTCCCCTGGACGCATATTTGGGGAGGAAGCAAACGACGGTACAAACGGGGTCCCTGCCAGCCAGGGGGCAGGCCCATGTGAACTTCCCTGCTCCTGGCTTCCTGGAGCCCAGCCCAGCACCACAGGCATGGCGGCAGTGAGCCAATGGGTGGGAGTTCTTGTAAAAAAAAAAAGTATATACACATATATACATAAATATATATTTTAAAAGATAAATTTCAGTTCAGTGCAAAACATTTTGAAATCCACGCACACAAAGTTCTTTACAAACTTCACGGGAAATATAAATTACAGGAAAAAAACTGCATGAATTTCAATTGTTTTAACACCAAAATAGATTTAATCAAATTTCCACGAAATTTTAAAGTTGCCTTGTGTACCTTAATACAACGTCTTCATGACTCACTGCAGCTTTAACAGGCCTTCTACCTCTCCGCTAACGTCGCGCATGAATTTCTGCCAGAGAACCTACGCGGGGGCTGTTCCCTCCTCAATGCCTGCGCTGCCTTCAGCCCACTTCCACATCCACCGCAGGATCCACCGGCACTGCCGCCACAAATTCCAATCCACATTTGGTTTGGGAAAGATTTTCATGTACAAATATTACTATTTGTTTCAGGAAAGTCAGAGCTAAGACTTCGGTAGAGTGTAAATTTTAAGCCAATGAATAAACAGTTGGCTTGAAAAAAAAAAAAACATTAAATTGACATGCAAAGCATTTGTAGCTCTGCCAGAAACTAAAAATACAAGTGAGTTCTGCCAATGTAGAAAAACTCGAGCCGATTCACTTGTTCTGAATACGCCGACTAGCTTTCACCAACTTAACTGGTCGAAATGAGAACCGACATGGTATGTTTCCTGAACTTTATTTTTGCTCTCAAAAAAAAAGACACGTGTACACTTCACAGATCAGCCTCATATATGTCATTAAATATGAAGATACATGACGGTAGTTCAGAAAGTTCATGGGAAAAAAAATCAGAATTGAAAGGTAAATTTATTTTGGTACAATATTTTGAAATTCATATAGTTTCTTTATAACACACATTTTCCATGAATTTTCTGAAGTGCCCTCAGACATTTTCAAAAAGCTATTGGTTTAGCCGAACAAATGAACATTTATGCATCTGGCAGGCAGTATCTTCCTATTTCATGAGTTAAATCGAAACTTTTCCTGCTATTAAAATATCGATTTTAATAATAAAATAACAATTTAAACAGACGGCACAGAGCAGTCGGGAGATTGCAATGTAAGTTTCTGCTCTGTTAGCTGAAGAGCAGGTAACATCTCGTTCCTGCCCCGGCCTACCCTCTCTTATCTGTCTACCTAAAGAAGTGTTTAAAACACGGAGTAACAGATTTACAATCGGTTACGGAAACCTGTTTAACTGCCGATTTACACTCTTGGCCAAGTATTTAACTCTGTCATCAGAACTGATTATGGCAAGCCTGAGATTATACATTCAAGTTCTCTTTTTGGTGAAAGAACTAGAATGTTCTCTGAAAATCAGAAACACCCCGAGGGCTCCCCAACAAGAATGCGCCACCAAATTTACTTCTCAGATCCTTCCCTGTAAAGCTCAAAATTACTGTTCTGCAGTAAGTTGCTTTAGCCTCAAGTGCTCCAACAGTAAATCATAGTCACATTAATGCCATAACGATGGCCCAAAACATATTAATCTCAGTCAACAACAACCGACATTTACATCGCTAATCTAATCCAAGCATTCTGCCGGCAGTCAGCACGTGGGGAGCTTTCAGGAACTGCACCTTTATTTCGCAGAATAGAGGACAAAATGCCCCCTCCTGGACACAGACACTCCAATGTTCCCACTTTGTTTCTATGAGAAAAACATCTGATCCACTTGGAGGCTGAACAAATAAAACAAGTCCCACAAGACATGCCAGCAGGACCCAAACAAGACAACCCTGCGCCTCCGTCACTCTGCTGCTGCACCATAAAGTGCTGGGGCTCTCCACAACTCATGTTCCCCAGAGGGCGGCTTAGACATGTGGCTTCCCTCACCGAATGAATCGCCTGCTACGTGTGGACCCATCACACTGCCTTCCGCCCAGTTAAAATGTTTCCACATACACAGAATCCTGAGTAGGGAACCAAGAGGCGACAGCCGACACTACCGTGGGCTGAAGAGGTTAGGTGGTGGGACGCTGGGCCCGAGGCCCCCAAGTCAGACGCAAGAGAAGCAGTGAGCCAGGCCTACAGTGCTACAAAAGGCTCCAAAAACACAGGGAAAAGAGAAAGAAGCCCAAACCGGAGGATGGGTGTGTGCTGGGGCTCTCGGACTGACAACACCCAACCACTGGCCTGCTCAGCCGTAACATTTTGAATGATCTAGGCGAAAGTCCTGGAGCACACGTGCAGCGGGTACTTCGCCCACCACAGGTTTTTACAAGAAAGGTTCCTCCACTCTAGTGTGCGTTCACCTACCATTCTGAGATGGGGTGCTGGTGATAAATGTCACCGCAGATGAGTTAGGGTTTTGTTAAAGCTCCAATGAGGATGGAGGAAAGGAGGCAGACTCAAAAGCCAAGAGCAAGCTGTCGTTTCCTCACCTCCACCAAGCCGAGTGGGGAAGGGGCAGCGGACCACCACGGCCTGCCCCAGATCACAGCGGAGACGGCTGCCACGCTCAGCTCAGTTGCTGCTCATCCCAGCTCCAAAGCTTCCCCAACCCACCAGGATGGTGAACCCCACCTCTAAGGCCACCTACAGACCACGGCACCATTCCCTTTTTTACCCCAATTAATGCCTTCAATCTCTCAAGGAGTAACAGGAAAAAGGAGTAAAAACAAGTAAATCAGTCACTGAATGGTTCCAAGTTGTATTATCTTGAGCTGCAATGACACCATTTTGTCTTCCAAGAACCAACTCTAAAAGAATGACATGACTGTGAGATACGTAGGAAGAGATCTGCAGGCAGAGCTGAATTTAAATCACCCTTGAACCATGACATTCTGTCTGGGTTTTTTCGTAATAATTGATCTGAAAGTACACAAAATTAGTCAATTGCTTTTACTAGGTGAATAGGAAGTTATCAACTCTACTGCACCAGTAAAGAATCAGTAATTATGATTACAACATTAAGGTAACTAAAGTAATTTTAACAACAGTATCAGTTGAGACTTTTTTGAACTTACAATCAATCCACTATAAATCAAAAAAACACTATTCCAAAGTAAGTGCAGTTACACCGAGTACCGGTAAGAAAGTCCAAGGTCACTGACTATGCTATACCAAACAGATGAAAAGCAAAATTGATTTTCTCCTGCAGACCCATATAAATAAATAATCAATCCTATCCTTTTTTCTATATGTGTGCTCAGATTTCCTGTACAAATAGCATTTCTTATACCAAATGTTTCATTTCATTGACTTCAATAACATGAACTCCTTAGAAAAAAAGATAGAAAAGAGCTGATAACCAACTCCCAAATTTTATGCTTATTCTTCTATCAATTTCTTGATGTGTTTAACATAAGCAGGAAAACATTTTCAATAATTGAGCCCGTGAATCTACAAGGATCTCGCAGAAGTCTTCCAAGTTACATGTATCCCATGTTGCTTTTCGTTTCCCATCTCTTCTTTGCTTCAAATCTGAAATGAAGAAGATAAAAATCTCAATTTATTTCTAAAATAAAATAAATACTTCGCGAGAGTAATGTGTTGACTAAGTGACCGAAGCAAAATAAACTTTAAAAACCTTTTTAACATACTCCATTGATAAAAACAACAGGATGAAGAAACATACCCACACTCAGAAGCCAACCATGGGGCACGGCAAGCCCACGCCCGCTGCAGGCACGGGGTACGCCTGAGTGCCCACACAAAGCCCCGCTTACCCCCACGCAAGCTTCTTCTTTTTTCGTGCAGCCTGTGAATTTTCGGCCTCCTTTTTGGCTTTCACATACTTGCGGCAGGCAATTGCTTTGGCAACTTTTACACCAAGCTAACAATTACAAAGAAAAAAAGAGAGAGAAAACCAAAAATAAATATGTCTGCTAATACAAGTGTAACGAATAATGGAGAACTTCTGAGTAAGACAGCCATGCCTAGAAAGGAGAATGGCTCCACCAGGTCTCCCTGAGCCAAGCATAATGAATGTACAGACATGGGCCATATCCCCCTTGCTCTGGACCTCCCAGCAGCCCCTTCATCCGAGCTGCACAGTCTCCTGTACGGAAAGTCTTCCCAAACGGAGGCCCTCGAGGGCCCACAAAGGTAGTAATGAGGATCTGAAAGCTATTTCAGCATTTCAGTAGGCTGAGCAGGAATCTACCCCTGATAAGGCTGCACACTGACAGAGACATCAAGTTTCTTTGCTCTGGGCTAGAATTACAGCAGCTCAGTATGGTCACACCAGTTATCTCTGGTTGATCAGAAGTTCTGATTGGCAGTCATAGATGTGATTAATAAAACATGGGAAAGCTAATTACTACTTCATAAATACAGTTTGCATGATGGGCCACAGCTTTCAATTCAGAGAGAGAAAGAAAAGAGTGGAGGGGGAGGGGAGTCTAGGCACCAGGACCCCGGAACCCAAACATTTCCAAAGCAGGGCCTCTGTTCACAGCCCTTACCCATCTGCTAGTCCTCTACGTCCATCCCAATTTGCCCCACCTCCGCCCTGAAGTCTTCTCCAACTGTATCCCAAAGCAGCCCTTGTTCCTACACTACTCACGCCCTGCCCAGCTTTCCCTGCCTTTCTCCGGCCCTTCTCAAGCTGCAGAGCCATTCACCGTCAGTGACCTCCAGCACAGGGACGAGCTCTCCTGTATTCCTTGTTTATTTACATTTACCTGAGTGGCACACAAGAGGAGTGCTCTCTCATCTACTGAATGACTTGCTCCCCAAATGCCCACAAACTGCAGGGCCCATTCCCGGAGCTGGGAACTCCACCCAGGTCTCTTCCACGCTGGCAGGGACCCAGTTTCTTGGAGCCATCACCACCGCCTCCCAGCATCCTCACGATTAGGGGCACAGCCCTAGAGGGCAGTCCAACACGGAACACAGGCATCTGAACCACTTGGCCAAACACCTGCTCTTACTTTTAAAAGTGTCTTGCCAATATAAATTGTTTAAGAGGATCTGTTATGCAAGTTACACAACAAAAGCAAACCTCATTTACTGAATTTCTTTTTAGTGTTTCTTGCTTTTTCTATTCCATCATTCAACCTAAAGCATGTGAGTAAACAGCCAAAACTTGGATAGAGAAGAGATGACTGGCAAAGCTCTCTACAGTCAACACAGTCAAGCCTACATTCCAAGGATCTGCTTGCCAACAGTAAGACATGCTAGGCGGTTGAGAGTCCATGGGTCAGGAAAGGTGCCCAATTAGGAGGCAAGGTGTGCCAGGTCTGAGCCATCTTTCATCTTATCTTGACAAACAATTTCCTTTAGGGTGAACCAGGCAAGCAGTCACGAAGCATGCGATAGAGTTGATAAATAGGATCAAAACTGGATCTGATTTTGCAGTCCAGGAAAGAATACTATAAAGAACAGAAGCAGATGGAAAGCAACTTATGATCTGATTTCTGCGGCAATTGGTCAATGTCAATAGGAAAGCCATGGATGAGATGAAAAAGATAAATAAGCCTGACTCCAGAAGCCACTTGAGAAAGCAGACCTGCCTCCTGGGTTTTCTCGAAACTCCACCCACCACTGGCAGCACTACCGCCACCAGCATCTTTCCCAAGGACAGCATTCAGTCAACAACCTGATGAGGGTACAAATGCAGGACTCTGCCAGGCACTGAGCTAGGCGCTGGAGACAAAGTATTCAACAAACAGGGTTTGTTTGTAAACTGCGGGGCTGGACAGATGAGACTGTCAATCATTTTTGACTGTTTCAATACTGGCTCATTAGTCCTCCAGATTGTCTTTTCTAGTTCTTTACCATAGGAAAGTCCACCTAAGTAAAGCAAACCAAAAGCTGAGAACCAAGGGGCTGTAGCATCATCATCTCAGGAAAAGAAAATTCTGGAAGGATGCTGGGGTATACCTGCTGTTAAGATGCCATTCACAGCCACCCCGACCCCCAAAGTCTACCTGTCACGGATGTAAAAATCAAGCTCCCATCTTCGGGTTAGGCTGTCAACACTGCAGGGTCAAAACCCCAAACTACACTGGCTGTACTGCGATTTCCTTTCGGTTCCTGGGGAGGAGCAGGGAGCTCACCCAGAGGTGCCAGCCTCTCAACATGGGGCTTTCAGGGTTACCATGGCAGAAGGGCTGCAAGGTCCCCGCCTCTGGTCTGAAGTGGCACTCCTCACTTCTGCTCACGATCCACAGGCCAGTCACTCTTGGGCTCCACCTAAATGCGAGGGAGCTGAGAGCTCTGACGGTACAACAGGATACCAGGGGCGTGGTACACGCCGTGAAATGCAGCTTGCTACCTGGGCTTAAGATGCAGAACAGGGCTCTACCAGTCCACGTGGACAATTTAATCTCTTTTCTGTACCCCGTAGGCAAAAGGCAAAACACACAAAAATATTTACATTTTTCAATTAACTCCATTCTTACATACATCAATGTAATTTTGATGTAGTTTTGTCAAATCCACTCCCCTCAAAATTAATTTACTTTGTATTTAAATGGAGCCTATATTAAAAAACCAAAAAAGATCTGGATTGTAGTATTAACAATAATAAGAAAATTCTGTTAGCGCTATAAAATTAAGATATAACTTTTTAAAATATATATATCAAACTTACTGAAATTTCCCAATAGGAATTTTTTGGATTAAGAACAGACAAACCAAAGAGCACCACAATGTGTCTGGCCATGCGTCACCTGACTTCACTGACCCCTCACCTTGACTCTACAGATGGAAAAGCCTGGAACATCCCTGCCGTGCTCGGCCAAGTCAAGCACTCACAGCATCGCCGCAGACTCAGCGCAAACGCTCCCTGCGAAGACTTGCTCAAAGTCATTCAGAAAAGTGTGTGAAGTAAGTATCCCCAGGAAGAGCCCCACGACCTTGTGAACTCAGGAAATGTACCAAACGGCCAGCACTTTGAACACCACTCCTTCCTGTCAAGGATATTTTTCTAACTGCATTTTACTTGCGGTTAGTTTCAATGGAATGCTCCTCAATGGATAAACATTAAGCAGACCTGGTCCGTGTATATTTTACAGAGAAACATTTTCTAGGTCATAGTGACCGAGAGAAGTCACAGCCTTTCTGTATCCTTCGCACGCTTGAACTGATTGTGCTTCACTTACCTGGAAGCAGAAAAGGCTGAGACCCTTCTATGGCGGAGCCGGGGTCCAGCCAAGATGACTGACCTGTGTTCCAGAACAGGAAAGAACAGCACGCTGTGTTGCAGTATTACAAACAAACAGGCTGACGAGAATCCCCGTTTTGCTTCCACAGAAAGAAAAACGCATCTTCACACCCAATGTAAACACCACAAAGGCTTGGTCAATGGCTTCTATATTAAAAAACTGTTCCGGGTCATCAGATAACAACAGCCACATAATGTGGGAGCCATTTTTGTTTTCTTAATGAATAAAAATATACACAGAATTTCTTGTATGGGAAGCCAAAGAATCAGAGTTTTCCATATAGAACATCCAATATTTTGCTGCATTTTAATTAAGGTGTCTAAACATTATCACAAAGAACTGCAAATTGGTCGGAGCATGCGGTAAGGAAAATTAAGCTCTAAAGGCTTTTTATCGCCATATTTCAGGAACCAAGGGTGTAAAATGTTCTAATTTGGGATATATTAAAAGCCATAAAAGGTCTTTCAAAAAGATTAATGGTACTTTGCTTGGATTTAAGATAAGGGCTTTAGCTGGTTGGAAAAGCAGGGCCGGGCTGGACCCTGGAGGCATTCATCTTTACAGCCACTTGGAAGATTTGTAAAGGCGTCTGCATAACCTCAAGCCAATGCATGCGACATTTTTTTAATTCCTTTCAATTTTACAGGTTTAGCATGTGTAAATCATATCGGGTTGTAAAATAGATATAATGGCACATCCTCAAGAGTAGAGATTTTTTTAAAAGACAAACTTCAAAATCAAGTTGAGCTTCTCATCAAACCTTGTCATTATAAAGTTTGCTGATAATCATTTGCAGCATCTGGCTCAAACAGCTTAATCCAGCGTGACTGTAAACTTCTTATCCATTTCATAAAATATTTTACTCATCTCCAAATTACTAGCTTGTAACAGATTTATGAAGTTTTCCCCCCCGTTTGAACACTTTCAAGGCACTTACTTAAAAATAGCAATTATCATACTTTAACTTTTTATGGAATAATAGGCCTCTATGAAAAATATTTATGCCATTCCCTTTTGTTCTTTAATTAAATGAAAACAGATGTTTTCTGAAGTAAAGCGGAACCATTACTGGAGTACTTAAAGCGTTAAGGTCTTTAATTTTTATATCAGTTTGGTCGACAATTCCTGATTGTCTTTACTCAAGCTCAACATTAATGTCAAGCAAGTTACCTAGGAGACGAAAGAGATCAAAGAGACAAAAACCCCTCCAATGTCTGATTAATCAAGCCTGCAAACAGCTTATTTCTTTTAGCCTGCATGCAAGTATGAAAATGAGATTCTGGGAGCCGAACATCGTGCAGATTTGTTCATTCTTATCAGAACAAAGCCAGCGGCAGCTCATTTCATGGATCGCTGGCACTGCCATCAGTGCAACACAGAACGGGTGACAGCTCCTCATTCTGAGGCTTGAACAAAATTAGCAAAAAGTCGGCACAAATTAGCCTCTCATCTCTTCAGTAATATGACATTATTCATTTACTTTTTATCCAATTTTTAATTTTTCCCTTGTCAGCTATCCCCTTCCAGTATCTCTTGCATGGCATCATAAAATACCTTGTAAAAAACAAGAAAGAAATAGCCAAAGTTTCAATAACATGCAAAGTTCAACAAGCAAATAAGAAAAAGCAGTTCCCCTGACTGGTAAACGCTGTGGGTTTTTTGG